CTTATCTAAGCCCTTTGCCAGGGTCTTATGCACCTCATCTTCCGAATCCAGGCTATTGATGAGGTGGACCCTGCTCTCCTTGTTAAGAAACAACAAACTCAACAGACAGGTTCTCACCTCCTCTGCCTGTCCCTCCCCTACATATACTGTCCCATTCTGAGAAAACCAAGCCCACTCTCAACCCCAGGGTTCATTCCTTTCCCTGGGTCTCAGTCACTGAGTAGGACTAGGCATGTCCCCTTGGGTTAAGGGCTCCTAGGAGCGGGCTCCCTGGTACTGAGAATTAAATATGTCCCTTATGGGATAAGCAACTTTCCCTGGGGTCAAAGGTGTCTATCAAATTTGGTCTCCTGTGACCTAATCTGTTCACACTTGCCTTGTTACACTCAGGCTAAACTATATTTAAATGAAGCCCTCACCTCTCTTCCTTTCCACCACATCATTCCTCAGAAACATCATCATACTAGTATAGTGGTTAAGGACTCAGGTTCTAGGGTCAGAAAGATCTGAGTTCCAATCCCAGCTCTACCAGTTACTAGATACCTAACCTTGGCATGTTAATTCCCTTGTCCCTGTTTTTTCATCCACAAAAGGAAGATAGGATTAGTTTGTTGGGTGGCTTTATCCAGCTCATCAGGTTGTTATCTAGCTGAGGGGTGTCAATGAACTAAAGATAATGGGCACACCTGCAGAATGCTATTCACTTAGGAGTTCACTTAGGGCATGGCTCTTCTACCCCAGGCACTCCCACGCAGCAGTGGCAACAGGTAGCAGAAGCTACAGGACCTCACAGGACATGCCTGGCTTATTCCCAACAGTCAGACAAGCCATCTGACCCAGTTCTCTTCCTCTTCCAACTCCTTCTGCTGCTCCTTCTCAATTCCCTCATTCATCCTGGACTCTGCCCTCACACACCCATTATGTCCCAGATCCTCCTGAACCCTCCTTCAAAGTTCCCTTTTGAATCTGCCCTCACTGCCCACCCTCTTTGTCTTACTCCCAGGCAACTCCTCTGAGTGCCTACATAATGGATTCGGGGTCACGCTCCTCAGCACTGCACTGACCACCCTGTCCCTGCTCAAAGACCTGCAGGGAGTCAGCCCTCTCAGATGAAGGAAGGTGATCCAAAGCCCAATTTACAGTTCCAACCTGTCCATCATCTGGTCTAACTTCGACCCTTTTTTTGTTCTTTCAGAGCCCATCAAAATGTCAGTTCTCAGGACCAGCAGTTGGTGTAATGGCTATGTTGCTGGACTCCCATGTAGTTGACCGTGGTTCGAGTCCCGGACCCAGTGGTTTAAACTCATGCTGGGCGTGTGTGCGTGCGTGCA